ATTATGAGTTTGGTGGTCCCTGAGGTCCAAAAGGTTGGTGATCCCTGCTATAGAACATGCATATGAAATCAGCCAAAGAACTAGCAAATATGTGATGTGAAGTTTCATCGATAAAACGTGATTGGTTTGGGGGGCTGTGCTGATTTTTACTTCCCATTTCATTTTCCTCTGAACATTTTTCATTCCAGTTTTGCCACAGTTCAGGTTTTCTGCAAATAAACAATATTGTTGTTTGTCTATCACAAGCAGGTTTGCATATTATCTGCCTGGGAAATTCTCAGCACAGGATTTAATCTCCAGATCATTAATTTTACATTTAGCTACTGCGGCATCCCATCCAGCTGCAGGAACCGTTTAAAGGTGCCTGAATAATAACTGGTTGGAAAGAAAGCAAATTATTTTCTGATATTGCACAGGATAAACAGTTGCATCGCCAAGATGGGAATTTCTGAAGCTGTCTGTTGAAACATCGGAAAAGAAAATGCAAAAAGAAAAGAGACAACTTCAAAAAGGCTGGGAAGAAACATGGGTAGGAATTCAATCCATGCTGTCAAATTCAATATACTAAGCATTTCTTCTAGAAAGGTACTATCTCTCAAAGAGAAACATGAGATCAAAGAGAAACAGGAGCCTACACATACAGTAAGCCCTTGCAAGTTATAATATATAGTAATCCTCAACTTATAACCATTCATTTGGGGTCCAAACTTATAACGGCACTGAAGAAAGGTGATTTACATCCAGTCTGTTCTGATCCAGCTCCTCAAACGTGATGAACGTTCTGAAATTAACTAAAAAAATGCCTTTATTAGGAGTACCGGCAGCCCCAGCAAAAAAAATTCTCTTTCAATGCAGGCTAACAAGTCTGTCCGGTCGTAAGATGAATCTGCCACATCTATTCATGTCTCCCCCCTGCCTTTTATCTCCAGGGCTAAGGTGGGGCTTCGCTAGCAGCAGTGGCATTTCCGTCCCAAGAACTGGCCAATAGATTTCCACTGCTCTCCTCTCCTTTCTCTGCTTCTGCGTGTCAGGTACTGGACCCAGCTGTTCCTCCTCTTCCTCATCAGCCACGTCTAGACCTGAGGACTGTTGACTCTCCATCTGAGGGTTGATGGACAGCCCAAGCTCCACCTCTCCCTCCCTCTCTCTCTCCCTCCCCCTCTCTCTCTCTCTCTCTCTCTCTCTCTCTGTGCCGGCTCCATTCCTTCTTCCCCCTCAGGTTGCTTTGATGCTGACCCTGACTCCCACACCACCTCATTATCTGATTTGACTGCTGGAGGGGCCAGTGGCCGACAGGCCACAACACAGTTTTCACACTCTCAAGAAGGGACCAGACTGCCATTTGTCAGAAATGGTGTAGGGCCTCCTGCTTGGGCAGGGGGTTGGACTAGATGACCTACAAGGTCCCTCCCAACTCTGTTAATCTGTTTAAAAAAAAACACCTCCATTTTAGCATCTCTGCAGTCACGTGTTCAAAATTCAGGTATTTGGCAACCATGTATGTACAAGGATCGCAGCATCCCGGGATCACCTGATCACGGTTTGTAATCTTCCCAGCTGGGTTCCAACAAGCTAAGTCAGTGAGGGGAACTGGATTCGCTTAACGAATGGGTGATGCACTCAACAGCTGCAGTTATTTCCTTATTAGTTGTGGCAAAACAGCTTGTAAAATTGGGCCTGTCTCACTTAACAATGATTTGCTTAGCGATGGGAATTCTAGTCCTGATTTTAATTGTAAATTAAGAACTACGGTACATTTTCAATCCCTGGCTGGCATTATTTTCTGCTATGGAGAATCTGGGATGTGAAAAAAAAGATTACTCCAAGCTGTGTAAGTGTTAAAGCCAAAATGCAATTTTAAAATATAAAATTAAATCAAAATGGCGGAAAGGTATCGGTGTCAATAGTTTTCCACTTATAATTATCAAGAAGATTTAAAAGGGATAATAGGATTTACGGTATGGAGCGAAGTAAGAAGTCTTTGAAGTGTAATTGGGTACCAACGATGTATAGATAGTTGCAAAAGCGTATAAACTTTTATTGATGTTTGAAATGGAAGAACAGGTTAAAGAGCATATGATAAAGTGGGCTTAGAATTTTGGTTATAATATAGAGATGGGTCAATGGAAAATATGTGGTCAACAGGGTTGAAACTTACATTATGTTATGTTATGACCTTAAATAGAATATTTCCTAAAATAAGGTATCCTCTGGCCTATGGGACCAAAGATATTATCTAAATAAAACATATAAAGGCATTCTAAATGTATAGGGAAAATGTAAACAACCTGAAGAGATATTTTATCATGCTTGGTGGACAAGTTAAAAGAGCTTTAAAGTTGGGTTCAAACACACACCTTAATACCAAGGATTTTAAAGATTAATATTCAATCAAAACAGAAGTTTTCCTTTTATGATGGATGGATAAACAATTAGAAAATAGTATTTTCTTCTTCCTCCAGTATAATAAAGATATAATTAAAATTAGAATAGTGTTGGAAATAAGAGTGAGGGGAGATAAGGGAGTATATAAAATGGAATTTGATTGTTAAAATGGTGATTTAACATTAACAGGATTATTATTGGTAAAGCTACAAACACTTGTCAAATGTATTAAATATAACTAATGATGTTTTTAACTGTGGTAAAAAGGAAGGATAAATTTGATGAATGAAATATTACAATAAAAAAGAAAATATATTAGGGAATATTCTTAGGAACTGTAGTGGCATAACTGAAAGTTAGAAATGGAATGAAATTGGAGAGAGGGAAAATAATGGTATACACTTTTTTGTCATAATAAGATGATGTAAGAAAAAGAAAGGAAACTAAAATCTGAATGAGGGTGATATTAAATATATTTGAATAATATGAATTAGCATAAAAGAAACAATACAATTAGATATGGAATATATAAATGAACAAGAGATTAAATGGAATATAAGGATATGTATTAAGATTGGAATGAAATAAGATTATGAAAAATAGTTAATATGATTATTAATATGTTATTGGGTGTAAAATGGAAACACTCAGGGGTTAACATTGTTCACACATTGATATGTATGTAAAATAAAAATAAAACAACTTTGTGGGGGGGGGGAGAAAAAGAAAAGAGTCAAGGAAGAATATTTCGGTATAAGATTATTGCAACAAGATTATTGCATACAGAAAGATTCGGCATTACCAGTGGTGGGCTGCTACTGGTTCGAGCGAACAGCAAAGGAACAGTTGAGGAAATGGATAGAATTCGCTGAGATGGTTAAACCGACTTCATTAATTAGAGAAAAGACATTACGGATGGCCCAATGACTGGAAACCTCTTGTGGATTTTTTGTTATTTTTTATTTTTTGCATAAAAAAGAAAATGATTTTGTGACTTATTCTTTCAGTTATTAAAAAGGATGGGTTATAGAACCGAGCAAAAATTATGCCATCTTACGGAGACAGCTTTCATTAGAATTGCATGTCTAACTGCCAAAGGGAAGAACATCCTATGCATTTTTCATGTTTTATGTGATTTGATTTTTTACATTTTCTTTTTTCTCCCTCTCTTTATTTCCTTCCTTTTCTTTTTGCAAATTTACTTTTCCATATTTTTTTTCCTTTGAATGTGTTTCTTATGATATATTTATATGTCTTTTAACAGAAAATACAGGTAGTCCTCAACTTACGACCACAATGGTGGCCAATATTTCTGTTGTTAAATGAGACATGTGTTAAGTGAGCTTTGCCCTGCTTTACAACCATTTTTTGCCTCAATTGTTAAGTCAATCATTGCAGTTGATAAGTTAGTAACCCAGTTGTTAAGTGAATCTGGCTTCCCCATGGACCTGGCTTGTCAAAAGGTCGCAAAAACAGATCACACGACCCCTGGACACTGCAACTATCATAAGTATGAGTCAGTTGCCAAGCACCTGAATTTTGATCACGTGACCATGGGGATAGTGCAAAGGTTGTAACTGTGAAAAACAGTTGTCAGTCACTTTTTTTCAGTGTCGTTGTAACTTTGAACGGTCACTAAATGAAGTGTTGTAAGTCGAGGACTACCTGTTAAAAAACATTCAGTGTGTCAGCTTTGGAAGCCATATTAGCACCAGACACTTCCACACTGTCACATTCTTGAGCCTGGGAAAATGGGAGGGAGGAATTTCTTAGAATGTATGCAGTTAGACATAATAACTTTCTTTTCCTAAGTCAAGGTCATGTTATTTCGGCACTTGGGTGAGGGGAAGTCTCAAGTTGGGATGGATGGTGATTGGGGCATGTGATGCGACGATGGGTGCAGGGCGTGGATTTGTAATTTTTTACTTATTGCAAGGAAACCCAGAACTTTCAGATTTGGGATTTCCCAGATGTGCCAGTTTACTACCCAAATAAAAAAGAACTTTTGAGAAGCTGTCTGTCTCGGAGTTATTTGTTGGAGTGGAGGTTTTCTGGAAGGCTGACACAGTGCCATCTGGCTGAAGATATGTCAATGAAGACTCCATCATCCAAGCCAAAGGGATCTAAAGGTTGAATCATGGCAACTGGACCAAACTTTGTTCATCAGAGTCTTCCATTGCTCCTCCAAGCAACTTCATCAGTAGAGAACAAAAATTAACTGTTAATTGTTTCAGGTTAACAAACGTTGGTCCAGTTGCGATGATTCAACCTTTAGACCTCTTTGGCTTAGATGATGGGGTCTTCATTGACATATTGCACTGCATTTGGGGAAGAAACCCCTGAAATTGGTGTGGCAAGAGTTGGCGCATTTCAACAACTCTCTCTCTCTGCCTAACTAAGTTAGCTCTGACTGATGAAGTTGCTTGGAGGAGCAAAGAAATGTCTCAGATTAACAAAGATTGGTCCATGATCCAACCTTTTAGACCGTCCGGGTGAAGAGTTGCTCCCACCTATTATATACATATCAAGAGATGTTGACTGACTCATAGATATCAAGAGATGTTGACATGACATAATCATGACTTTGATCTCTACTTGACCAAAAAGACCATCTTTTAGAGTTGTATCATAGCTTCTTTTGTTGTGTCCCGGACACTTTTTAAGAATTTCAGAACCCGTGAACCCCCAGTCCCTACCACTTCCAGGAAAGATGGAGGACTCGTGGTTTGAGAAATGTTGTTCTTGGCTTTTTTGGCTGCTATAACGATGTACTTGGTGACCAAGGTGATATGGTAGGTCCTTAGCTCAGAAAGAGCAGCCACACACTTGTTGTATGTGGACTGAAGGTCTTGGTTTGCAGAAGATAAGACGTGATCCTTCAGTCGAGGAACAGATCGGATTTCTTCAATGAAGGCCTGATGATGAGGAGGCATGTATTTTCTCATCCTGTGCAAAAATCCAGCTGGTAAAAGATACCAAAGGAATGGATAAGTGGGATTCAAGGCAATTTGAAATGATTGAGTCAACCTGCTCAACAAATTAGCCCTTTAAGTATTTTTAAATCCCTCATAATTTCTAACCCACATTGCTGATGTAGGAGAAAAGAGGCAGAACCAGGGGACTTAGTTAAGCAAGTCATCAGCCTAGAGTCATTATGTTCCCATAAACAATCTAAGTCCAACCCCTCTCAAATTCTGTTGACTCTTAAAGTAAAGGTAAAGGTTCGCCTCACACATACGTTATCTTAGTTTTTAAGTACCTACCGTGCCTCCCAGAAACAATTAACATTGAATACAGAAGTACCACTTCAAGAGAAAATTAATTTCAGTGAAATTCTCATGGATGAATATGTTTGTTTTGTTAACTAGGTGGGCCAAGGTGGGGGTATGAATGCCCTCACAATCTTCCTGGCTTCCCACACTTCCATTCGATCACAATGGAAGATATCAGGAGGAAAATTATTCCCAATGGGGCTTTCTCAAAAGGAATTCTACTGTGACCCCAAAGGGGAAAATCCTTCTTTCTTCTCACTGAGAAATCCTGAGAAGTCATAAATCTGGTTTCTCCATCCAGGGTTGGTGTTGTGGCCTGTCAGCCACCGGCCTCTCCAGCAGTCAAATCAGAGGAGGAGGAGGCGTGGGAGCTTGAGGGGGAAGAGGGAATGGAGCTGGCAGAGAGAGAGAGAGAGAGAGAGAGAGAGGGAGAGAGGGAGGGAGAGAGAGGGGGGGATCCTGCGTTAACCGTCAGCCCTCAGATGGAGAGTAAACAGCCCCCAGGTCTGGAGTTGGCTGATGAAGAAGAGGAGGAACAGCTGAGTCCAGTGCCTGATGCATAGATGTACAGAAGGCAGAGGAGAGGAGAGCAGCGGAAATCTATGGGCTGGTCCTTGGGACGTTCTGCTGCTAATGAAGCCGCATCCTAGCTCTGGGGATAAAAGGCAGGGAGGCAGAGATGAATAGATGTGGCAGACAACTATTCATCTCCTTGCCGGAGGGGAGGGAGGGAGGGGGGGAGGGAGGGAGGGAGAGAGAGAGAGAGAGAGAGAGAGAGAGAGGATTTTTTTCCAGGGCTGGTGGAGCTCCTAATAAAGAAAACATCTATTTAACTACAAAGAGTTTGTTGTGTTTGGGAGCCGGGTCAGAACAGTTGGAAGATTTGAAAAACCCACTGGTGTTTTATCCTAGTTTCAGTATAAAATGCCGGATCTAAATGCAAGCAAAGGACAGGTCTTACCACTTTCTTTCTGATGTTGGATACCAAGCAGCTCATCGAAGGCATGCAGGGTGGAGCTCTGAGCCGCACTGCCCCCAGAATATGCCAGAGGTTCTTCGCAAAGGCCTTCATACAGCAGCCCTTCGGGTAACACGGGGTTATCTTTCCAACTGAAAAAGAGAAAAGGCACCAATGGGTTGCACAGGAGAGGACCAACAGATAACCTTCTGGAGCAGCCAATACCCAAGTAAGCAGAAACAGCACCAGCTAATCAATAATAGCAATGGCGCTTAGACTTTATATATCACTTCGCAATGCCTTTACAGCCCTCTCTAAGCGGTTTACAGAGTTAGCAAATTGCCCCCCAACAATCTTGGTCCTCATTTTACCCACCTCAGAAGGATGGAAGGCTGAGTCAACCTTGAGCTGGTCTGGATCAAACTCCTGGCAGTGGGCAGAGTTAGCCTGCCATGCTGCATTCTAACCACTATGCCACCATGGATGGATGGATGGATGGATGGATGGATGGATGGATGGAAGGAAGGAAGGAAGGAAGGAAGGAAGGAAGGAAGGAAGGAAGGA